CATGTCTTATGAAACCACAATTTTTTTCGCATATTTCCTTTTCTTTCTTTCAAATGAAGAATCTGCACGAAACATGCGTTTTCCCTTCAGTAGGAAGTTTTCCCTTCAAAATAGGAAAAGGGAACGTCGGCAACATCGCGAAAATAGCCCACAAGTTCAAGGGCAACGAAATCCAAGCTGGAGAAAGTCCCGTCGCACATGAAGTTTATTATTTTGCAGCACGTCTTCTCCAGAAACCACGCCGTAGCGTTTGAAATAAAAAATAAATAAAACGATGTAAAAACAAGAGAGAAGAAAGAAAGGAAAAACAATTTTGTGAGATTACCCCTTTGGGTCAGCGGGGTGATGAACCTGTAGGTTCGGTCTGCCCGTCCTCCCTGTTTTGTATGTCAGACGCATTTAGGACCCTCGCCATCTTCAGCGCTAAATCTGTGCGATTTATGTTCTCTCCGTTTTTTTATGATAATATAAAATGGGCTCGGCTAAACGGAAATCACATAGGCTGTAATTAATCAATATGGCCGTTTGATTAAAGAAACCCTCTGAATACAGTGAAATGAGCAGAGTTCCCATAATATACATTTATAAAAGAGAAGAAAAAGTGCATGTATAATTGCAAAGCCGCTCGAACAAATTATAACGTTTTGAAAAAATTATTATCGGGCCGGGAGAAAATTGGATTCTCACGGATTTCTCCACTATCGCCCCTTTTTTTCGATTCCGGCCGTGAGGGGGCGAAGGATGAGAAGAGGAGATTGAGCAATATCGAGAATTTTAATCAAATTTATTCGAAGACGGGCCGGAGATGAAGACACCGGTTGGGCAACGCCGGCGTCCGCGCGGTACCGCTTTTTTCTGACCGTGTGCCAACTCCTAGGTGCCATCGACCGCGATCGACGAGGAACTCGGATCGAACGACGGAATTTACAACGGAGGAACAAACGGTTTAAGCTGTTTTATAAACGTTGGGGGAGCCATTTGGTGACGGTGTCACACAAAATTTATGAATAGACGGTGCTTTGGTGTTCGTTGGAATTTTGGACAGATATATTCTATTAAAATAATGTATGTACACTGACAGGCAAAATTTCCACCCAGCTGATTTTTTTTCATTTTCACGATAATAGAAAATTCTGCCTTAATTTGTCTCATTGTTTTTATCAATAAATGCTTGTTTATGCTATGGTTTGTAAATTGGGAATATCAATTAGAAGCAAACACACTTAATCCTTAATCCAAAACAGGGACAAAGGATTTTTTAATGTTTAACTTTTACGGAATTTAAAATCTAAAATCAGTCTCATTTGAATTCTGAAGCAATAAACTGTTTGGTTTGTATCTTTGCTTACTTAATTTCAATGTTTAAAGTTAAAAATGCCACTCAGTGCTGGGGATGTTGCGCGTGGTGTGGTGCATTCCATCAGGTATGCAGCTATGGCCATCGGAGTTCCCTACGAAACTATGTGAAACGCAGTTAGAAGTTTTCCAACAAATGGGTCCTACCATAGAAGGCCCGGTTATGGACACCCAAGGGTAACAGAATCACCGGATGACCGTTTTTGACTTTGAGAATTTTGCGAAACCAGCACCTTACTGTTGGTCAAGCGATTCATCAGCTCCAGGAAGTTCAAGCTGTCCAACTTTCTGAACGCACTGCTCGAAGAAGATCGAAGTCAGTATGGTCTGATGGGTTTTCGCCCTGTAAGATGACCAGAATTGTCCAGAACGCTCAGAGTTACACAGCTCGCATTTGCTCGAGAACAAAGCAATGTTGTCTGTCCCAGTTTGATCGATGTCTTTGGACGATTGGTCTGCTGTACGTCTTACAGATGAGTGTAGATTTGCTCTACGATCTCCAGATGGGCGTGGAAGAGTGTGGAGAAGGCGAAATGAAAGATGCAAAGCCTGCAGTTTTTCCCAGAGCCGACCTTTTCAACGTAGCTCAGTGAGTGTGGGCGGGAATTTCGATGGAGAGTCGCACAGAGTTGGTTGTTGTTCGTGGGGCGTCTTTGATGGCTGCATGAAATTTTGGAACATCATGAGTTGCCTATCCTCGATGAAATCAGCGACAATCCTACTCTAATCCACGATTATGCCCGTCCACATGTCCCTCGCATAGTAAAAATGTACCTTCAACAGCATACCATCAGGGTCTTAGCCTGGCCAGCCAATTCTCCATACTTGAACCGCATTGAGGATACGGCGGTGAACTTTAGGTTGAAAATATTGAATTCGTTGGATATTGGACGATTTGGCCGAGACCCCACAGTTCAACTCCGCAGGTCCAAATAGATCTGATGAGTGTTTTGTAAGCGGTTAGTTTGTTATGTTTAGTTAGTTCGGTAGGCGTCTGTGAAGTCCATATCTTTTGTTAAGTTCTTGCCGTTTTAATCTTGTTCCATGTAAGTCTACTATCTAAATAAAGCCCAGCAGACTTGGTTGGATGGTGGTATCTTGTTAATGTGCACTGGTTGGCAGTTATGAAGGTTGAGCATAAGCGTAGCTTGTCGGATTTTTTGTTCGTTTAACCTGATCCACCACAGATTTATGCAAACTAAACCGCTTATTCTAATGGATTTATAAGAAGTTCCCAGGATTTAAAAAAAGCTTGTTAGAATTTTTGAGCAAAATCTAAATACTCAGCATATAAGCCTCCACCCCCAAATCCTGGGATTTTTTCAACTATCATTCACTAAAAAAAAATTTAAAGAGTATTTATGAAAATTTGAAAGTGCCCTAAATGTCGGGGACTTTTACTCACGATCTGACTTTCTTCAAAACTACCGAGCACCCCGAGGACCGGGACGCACATTGTCATTTTCCCGGCGTCACGATGGCAAATAATCAGAGTTGCGTGCGAAGACCACGAGTGAAAGTCCTCCGGCCGCAAAGTTCAGAAGGAAGTAAACCGAACCAATAAAGATTCTAACGATCCGGCAGTCTCCGAAATACACTTGGGGCTTGTGTTTCGATCTCGAAAGGACAAAAGCGAGACGCGTCGGCCGGGGAAGAAAGAAAGGGGGCAGATTTCGAAAAATTTGAACGTCCCGATAAGGGCCTCGTTCAAATTTAGTGGGTCAGCTTTCTCCTTCCTCTTCGGCTTCCTCCCGTCTGTCAGGCTCACATGGAACTCCGACTTTTTGTGCCTAAACCTGGGCTGAACTTTGGGGAAGAGGTTGTCCTCAGTTTGGAGGACGGCCTATCTTCTTCCACTTCCTCCCCGGTTTATATTTGTTCAAGTCTTTTGAAGATCATGAAAGACGATTGTCCCGACTCCAATTACGGCCGTTTCCGTTTAAAGAATGAAAAAAAATCTTTCCCTTTTGGCCCGGGATCAACGGCAAACCATCTTTGACGATTCAATCCCGGCGAGACGTGTCGAATTTAATTGCCACCGGTTAAAAACGTTTGTACAAGGGCCCGGCCTAAAATTAAAAGTACCTTGTGTCCTCAGGCACATCACGAAGGGGAAAAAATGCATCTAAGACAAAACCAAATATTTTCATAATAACTCTATTGTTACCAAATAACAAGAAACAAACAATAAAACCGAGTATCAAAAGCTGGGCAATCGTTCTATGTGATAATCTGATGAAAGTCGATCTGCCGGTGGCTGGATGAACTCATGTTGAACAGGTCAGCAGTGATCATTTATCTTATTAATTTATGAATACAACGTAAACCAGCGAAAACAGACGGACCCAGAAAGTTGATAGATCAGTCCAACATGGACTGTAAACATGCCAAGATCTCTCTCTACCCTTTGCCCCAGTTGCACATAAATACACTCCACGATTAGTGTAAGACTGGTCAAAGAGACTTTGCGTGATTAAATAAACAATCTAACACTCTCTCTCTCTCTCTCTCTCTCACCCTCTTTCTCTCTTTCTCTCTCTCACACACTCACTTATTCACTCTATCTATCTCTCTGTCCATTTATCTATTCGCCTGCCCCTCTCACTTTCTATCAGCCTAGACTCTCTTCTTTTCACTGTCTCTTTCACCCTCTCTTTCTCTATTTCTATCTATCTGTCTCTCTCTTTATATATATATATATATATATATATATATATATATATATANTCTCTCTCTCTCTCTCTCTCTCTCTCTCTCTCTCTCTCTCTCTCTCTCTTGGTGTGTCTTTCTCTCTCTCTCTCTCTCTCTCTCTCTCTCTCTCTCTCTCTCTCTCTCTCTCTGGTTGAATGTATTGAACTCTAACCGTGGCAATTATACTTTATTAAAAAAAAAAGGAAGGGTGCTGGAAAAGAGGCTATTCAGACTAAAACGGCTTTTGTGATGTATAACCGTATTCGACCGGCAGAAATCGAGAAGGCACTTTGCCAAGAGTGCGGGATTCAATTTATAGCTAATTAAAAATAAAAAAAGGAATGCGATCATGCTGAAGTTTTGGATTTGAAACGCGATCTCTTCCGACGTCATCAGACGGACACGGCTGACACCTTCCTGCGTTATCTCGACGAATGTTACATAACAGATTATGCAATTTTCTTTTTAATGTTAACAATTTGTTCGAACGATTACTGGCGCGTTATGGTTAATTTGAAATTCCCATCGGGCTGAAATCCCAAGCCGTCTCCTTTGCAAACCGAAGAGAAACCGCGTTGAAAAGTAGTCTCGACGAGGCAACCGTGATTTACAAGTATTAACACAAACGGCGGGTTACCACATGATCAAAAGTTGCCACAAGATGAGCCTCGTCGCATTCCTGGGGGTCCTCGTGCAAACAAGAAGTTATAAAAGAGAAATCTGCGAATTTTTTTTAGAATTTTCTTTTCTTGATTGTGTATGCAGAATTGTCTCTATTGGGATGAAATCTATCAAGAAATTTTACAATGATTGGGCAAAGCCGAGTGTCGCAATTCATACTCGACTTTCCATCCGAATAAGGATCGGTTTGTAAATTGACATTGGACAAGAGTGTCGCTCTCTTTAAACCCCGTTCTGAAATGTTTGCTCAACCGTTACGTTTCGATTTTCAGATGACCCTGGCCGAATGGCAGATCCGAGACCTCTGCCAGATCGCGAGGGACATCCTTCTGAGCCAGCCGATGCTCCTCGAGCTCTGCTCTCCGGTCAACATCGTCGGCGATATACACGGCCAGTTCCAGGACCTCCTGCGGCACCTGGACAAACTCGGATACCCTCCGTCCGCCAACTACCTATTCCTAGGCGACTACGTCGACAGGTAAGGGAAAAAACTAAAAAACCATCACGAGACCGCTTTTAAAACAAGATAAAAACTGAATCAATTGGACTTTCTCCTAATCAAAACGCACTTGAAACTTCTCAAACTTCGCCGGGGCGGAAGGAAGAACGACGATTTAAGAAGTTAGAACTGGAGTTTTAGGGTTTTCACCCTTCACGATAAGACGATTCACTTTTTCCCCCTTTTATACAGGGTATTCGGCTACTGTTCCAATCTTTGCCAGTAGATTCTACATTAAAAATGGAACCAAAAAGTCCTAATTAACTATGGTCCGAATCGCAACAATTTCGGAGTTATTTCACTTTTTCTGATTTTTTAATATATAACGAACCTGCTTCGAATAAACAATGATAATAGAAATGATAAATGATGGAGTGAGTGTGGTGTTCAATACTTTTTAAAAGGATAGTTCCTACTCACAGTAAGTTGTTTTGCAACGATCCGGATTTCGAGCCTTTTAGCTCATCATCAGGTTGAAGGACTTCTACAACCACGTCTCTCGACATGAATTGCCAAAGTGAACC